GGGAGAATGGGATTCTGAGTACAGATGCAAGGAGGACCCTTCAGAGGGAGTGAACAAGGCGGGCAGGAGGGAGCCAAGGCGGGCCTAGCTGTGGACTCTGGCTTCTCTGCGTGGAGGCAAAGTAACTCCATAGGCTGCCAGCTTCTCTTTTCTTTGAGCAGCAGATGGAAGGTCCTTCTGAGAGAGAGAAGCCAGCTGAGGAGTCTGCAGCACCGCTCCATCTGTCCCTGGGGGATCAACATCACCTCAGCCTCAGAGCTGGACTGGCAGCCCACCCTTTCCCATCTCACTCCCTTTCATCCATTCTGGCAGACCAGGGCTGGGGAAGGACCCCCAAGAATGGTGTGTCTTCCTCTCTCTTTGGCAACACAGGATCTGCTTGGCCCTTGGGAGGAGTGGTGCTGGACCTCCTGCCTCCCAGATTCCTCCTGGTGCCCAGCTCTGCTCCCAGGGGGGCTTAGAACTGAGCTCAGGGTCCTGGCTAACCTGTCCTGCAAGTGCTGCAGGCCCCTTCCTGACGTTCATGGACCAGTCCCCAGTTCCGTTTTAGTTTATTTTTAACTAGATTTGTCTGCATCCCCCAGTGGGAAATGAATATATGCTCATTATAGAAAATGTGGGAAAACAGAGATGAGTAGAAAGAGGAGACACTAAATGAGAAATTGCCTTTCTAATGTGGTGTCCCTGAGACTCCTCGGGCTCAGGGCCCCAGGCTCAGCAGGGGGCATGGACCCTCTGGCCTGCAGGGGCCTCTATAGCAGTCTGGTTTTCAGGAATTGCCCTTGCCACTGGCTCCCTAGCTTGTCCGAGTGATGCAGTGAGCGGAACTGACGCGAGTCGCTATATTTAATGTTGGTGTCTGCGTCACCGGTGACCACACAGCAGCGTCCGCCCAAGTGGTGCACCGGCTGGGGGCGTTTCTGAGGGACGCTCTGAGACAATCACTTTCCACAAGAGAAGGCATTGTGCAGGGGCAGGGAGAGAGCGCAACAGAAAGTGAGATCGTAGGTAGAAAATTGCTTCTGGGATTTCAAATGGCTTTGTCATGGGGCCCTCCCTAGCTGCCGAGAAATCAGTTGATCTGGGAAAGTTCGTTGCAAACCCTTTTCTGTGCTGCTGTTGGGTGGAGCTGAGAAATGAAGGAAGATAATGAGGCTTTATGACTTTTATTTGGCAGTGTAGGAGTTGGGCAGCAGAGTGGGGGGTGGTGACCATGGGTATGGCCACCAGCTCTGACCCCATCTTGGGCCTGGAGAGGCCCAGATGACTGGCCAGTGGGTCTGGGACCAGGCAGTCAGCCTAGAACATAGTCAGCCTGGGCTCAGCAGGGCCTGCTTGGAAGGGAGTTGGCTAAAGGGAGGAACGGTTTTTGGGTTTGCTCAAACTGACCAGCTAAATTAAGATACTAAGCAGAAGGCGCTTTCCTGTTGATGATAATGAAAAAGCCACGAGCCGATGAATTTGATAAACCCCAGCCTTCAAGCTGCTAGGTCACAAGGAAACAAGAGGCAAGTCCTTGTCCTCCTGAGTCCTGAGCTCTTCAGAGGGCCAGCCTCAGATAAACCCCAGCAGTGACTTGCAGTGTTCTCTGACACCTCATCTGAGCAGCAAACAGAGCTGTTTAGTGCCGAGTTCACCGGAAACTCAAGTGTGTCTCACTTCTCACTCTAGCCCTGGCCCCTCTTCCAGTGAAACCTCTGGGGCCTGGGGTTCCTGGGGTGCAGAGGGGCTCCCCACCCTGGGCCTCATGACCAGCATCTCCCTCCCACTCAGCAAGCACCCGTCTCTTCCCAACCGCCCTTCTGTCTGGGCCCTGCTCAGGGTTTGCCTTTCCACATGGAAGAAGTGAGACCACGTGGTTAGAGAAACTCCCAGCAAATACCCCAGGCCTCAGTCCCCAGAAAGTGATGCTCCCAGCCACAGTAGCTGACACGTACCCTTTTTTCCTGTTTCATCTGTCTCTTTCTCTCATTCCTGGCCAGGCCCTCCTCTCTGCCACCCACACTGGCATGGTTCTGTGGCTCTGTGAGGTCCACTGTTCCTGGAAGGGCCCAAGCCCCCACTAGCTGACTGCACACCTCGGTGAACACAGGTTCCTTGTCTTGGGACAGTCTCAGAGCGGCAGGCGGGGACCTATGGGTAGCTGGGATTGTGATGCGCTGTGGACCCCTAGTGGTGTGGCCTCGGCGGCCCAGTTAGTGCCATACACCTTCCTGCCTACCATTGGGATACATTCTTAGGAAATCCTAAGAGACCCTGCCCACACCAATCTCAGTTCCAGTCTTTATTCTTGAGAGATGCACATGGAATTTCACCCAGAGACATTCTTCTTCCTTCAGACAGACAGGCCAATGCTCTGGTTGGGCAGAGGATGTGAAAGTTGATGTTACCAGAGAGTGGATGGCTAAGTTTTGTATAAAAATAACATTAATATTGGGCGCCTGGGTGGCTCAGTGGGTTAAAGCCTCTGCCTTTGGCTCAGGTCATGATCTCAGGGTCCTGGGATCGAGTCCCGCATCGGGCTCTCTGCTCAGTGGGGAGCCTGCTTCCCTTCCTCTCTCTCTGCCTGCCTCTCTGCCTACTTGTGATCTCCGTCTGTCAAATAAATAAATAAAATCTTAAAAAAAATTTAATCTTCCCTAAATATCCTCTGGCCTTAAAAGTCTTAAAACTCTGGATGGAGAGTTGTTGCAGAAACCTTGCCTACTGCGTAGGCTTGCCTACTACCTGACTTTTCTGCCTACCTAGTAAAGCATCCCTTTCAGAACCCGCCATTGTTCAGACTTCTTTCTGGTGCTAACCCTTGAGTGTGTATGGTGTCTTGGTCATTGTTAGCCCTGAGGGCTGGAGGACTGTGGGCCACAGGCAGGCCGCCACAAATGTAGTGGGACTGAACAGGTTCTGAGACCTCCTGGGATCACAGAGACGGTCCAGCGCCTGCCCTTGACAGCCCATGGGACACTCAGTTCATATGCCCCCTCTCGAGGTCTCCCCTAGCTTCTGCCTGGGTGCAAGGGGTCCGCTGTCTCTGAGTGGCTCCCGGAGCTGCCCGCCATGGTCCCCTGCCCTGGACAGGTCCTGCCATGGTGTCTCTCCTCTCACGGGTCCCGGGGTGGCTGCCTTTGCTGGCTTCTGAGGATTGCTGTGGATGTTCCCACAGGGCTTGGGGCTTCCCAGGGGAGGTAACTGCCTGCCACTCTGTGTTTGACACTGGTCTCTGATGACCCACAACCTGCTGCAGAGGCATCGCATCCTTCTAGGCACCTCTCAGGGATTCTCTGAAAACCCTCCTGATGGGCAAGAGCATTATTAGCTGTGGCTTGCTGAGGGCTGCTGCTTCTGGCACTCGTGGTGCTGGCCTGGGCCAGGGGAGAAGCAAAAAGACCTGGTTGGGGTGGCAGTCTGACCATGGCCCTGTGACCTTTGGTCTCCACTCGTCATTCTATAGTACAGGAACCATAAGTCAGTTGGTGCCTCTTCTTTCACAGAGGTGATGAGTGTGCACTACACTCATGATGGGATGTGTCCAGGGACTGACTAGGCTGTCCCTAGAAAGGAATTCGTGAGCTTCCTATCATGGGAGGTGTCCAACAGGTTGATGACCATGTTATAGAAGTTGTGGGGCTCCTGGGTGTCTCAGTTGGTTGAATGTCCACCTCTTGATCTCAGATCTTGATCTCAAGGTGGTGAATTCAAGCCCCGCCATCTGGACATGGAGCCTACTTTAAAACAAGTCATGCTTTTAGGCTAGATGACATTTGGACAGAGGAAGGCAGAGTGGTTAAGTGTATGGGCTTTGGAGTGAATTCTGGGTTCTAACCCTGGCTTTGCTCCTTACCAGATGTTGAACTTTGGGCATGCTGCCACCTCTTCCCCGAGCATCAGAGAGGTCGTGAGGGAGACACCAGAGGGTGTGTGGGTGGTACCAGACATAGGCGGGCCACTCATCGAAATCTCTGATCATGACTTCTGAAGTCACTACCTGTTTTACGTGTCCTCCTTGAACCCAGAAATCCTGGCCCCAGCTGCTTCTCCCTGCGAGTAGCGTGTGAGGGGATGTCCTTCAGGCCAGCTGGCCTCTTGCTGGGCTTGCTTACTTCCATTCAGCCCAGGTCCTCTCCCTTAATCCTCCCACACTCCTTCTTAGGCCCCCTCCTCCACCTCCCCTGCCTCCCAAAGAACTCCTCAGTGTCTCAGGGTCCCCACAGGCCAAAGTAAAACACAACCATCATCAGGTCTAGTCACTGTCTTTATTTCTGGCTTCCAGTTTGACAAGTCAGTGAAAGAACACATTCAGTGACCCTTTCCCCCAGGCCACACACACCCAATGCAACCTTCTAGGCTGCGCTTCTATATATTATTAACTCTTTGATAACATATTTTATTTCTTAATTTTAAATACAAGGAAAAACAATAAATTACTCTTTGGCTGAGGGCCAGCTGCTGCCTGGCAGACAAGAGCAGCTTCTCTGGCCCTCTCTCCCGTCCTGTGTCAGCCCCAGGACCCCAGTGAGGTAGCAGAATTTTACACACAGTGCTTATTCCCAGGGACTCCTAACACCCACATGGTCGGGCCCCCAGCTCCAGGTTCTGGAGGCAACAGTCCCTCCCTGTCCCCAGCACAGACGAACACACTTGTTTAAATAACACACAATAATAAATAAGGCTAAGAAGAAATGTGCCTGGGATGCTGCTGTCTGCCTTAGCCATGCCTGTGAACAGCAAGGCCCCCTCCAAGGCGGCTCCCATTGTAATGCAGAGGTTTGGTCTCAGGAGGGGGGAGTCCTGCCAAGCAGTGTTTCCCTCTTGTCCTTCACGGAGTGTAGAGCCACTGGCTGGGCTCAGCTTGGTGGAGTCAGGTGGCACAGGCTGAGGTCCAAGCTAAGGAAATCGTGTCTCCCTCCCTCCCTGCACCCTATCCCAACAAGAAATCTGTGAAATCTGGAAGAAAAAATGAATCTGTAACTCAAAAGGTCAGGTCTGCCTCTGTGAATAAGAATGCTAGGTTTTCATGCTTCATGGGAAATTTCCATGGCGAAAAACACCCCGTGCATAGGTGAGCAGGTTTTTCACCAACTGGATCACTTCAATTTTGGTGTCCTGGCTGCGCTCACTGGGGATCTGCTGCAGGACAAAGAGACGGGCCTGTTAGTGGGATGCCAGAGTGAAGGTGACCAGCTCTTACCAGGGGCTTTCCAGGAACCGGCTTCTTTAAGCTTCACAAAAGCCCCCATGAAGTGGGTACTGTTATTACCCGCATTTCATGGATGTGGAAACTGAAGTTCAGGTAGGAGTCAGGAGCCCATGAGCCCGGATCCTGGAAATCCCAAAGCTGTGTTGCTGCAGCCACAGTGGACCCACCCCAGAGTGGACGCTTGCCTTCTGACGCTCACCCAGGTTCCCCTAGAGCTCCCAGGGCTGGCAGGAGTGGATGCAGGGCTGGGGGTACAGGGTAAAGGGCCTTACCCCTGCCAAGGTATCCTGAGCACACAGTGATTTCAGCAACCTCTGGGTCCTGTGGATGGCGCTGCAGTTGGAGACACTGATCAGAGATTCCAGAGCTGCACAGTACTACAGGGAGAAGAACACGGGGATGTTAGGCCCTGCCGGCTGCCCCCCACCCCCACACTTTCACTGAATCTACAGAAGAAAGAGGCGGAGAGCCCTGCTAGAGGTGGTGGGAAGGCTCTAAACTGTGAGCAGCTTTTGAAGCTCGCTAGGAACCCCCAAGGCATGTGAGTGCCCCTCAGAGAACACCAGCACAGGACCTACAGCCTCAGCTTCGTCCCCGACAGTGTCCAGGGGGTCCTTACCATGCTGGTGGTCCGGTTGACGCTCCATACCATGCTGCCATTGCAAAGGGATGCCTGAGGGAGCAAAAAGGCAGTAAGCCCAGGCCATGTCTCCACAGGGATCCGCCCCCACAGGCATCCCTGCCTTAGCACAGAGCCAGGCCTGGGACCCCCCAGTGTTCCTGAGCTTCACTTCCTGCTCTGCATAGTCGGTGAGACCATTGCCCAGGGCGCTGGGGCTGAGAGAGAAAAATCTGAGGGACACAACCAGTAAGGGACAAGCCTTGTGTGAAGCTTTCTGCAGCCAGGGCCGCAGCAGAGAAAACATCTGAACGGTTAGTTAGGACATCTCCAGGGAAGAGTCAGGATGGCGTTGGGGGAGGGAGGAAGGGGTGGCCAGCTCAGTCAGATGGGGAAGGGTGGAGGCTAGTATATAAGACCCTGTCTTCTGAGCTGGGGAACACTGCAGTTTGGAGCATGGGTGCTGGGTATCAGCCAGGCCTGATCTGAATCTGGTTTTAACCTTAACGAGGCTTAGTCAGTCAAATAGGGTCATCACACCTGCCTTTGGAGGTAGTTGGCAGTGATGGAATGAGATGAAAAGCACCCAGCAGTAGGCTTGGTGCACAGTTATTGCCCAGAAAGTATGAGCCATCACCATTAGGGACAGGAGCTGACTACCAATGAATCCTTCTACAAGAATAGGCTTAACCAAAATGCTGTGATTAGTGGCCCCATTATTCCATTCAAACCAGATGGGAAATGCTAAATAGTCCTAGAAGAGTGCTGGTGCCTCTCTGCTTTCCTCTTCTTGAATGGTTGAGTAGGAGCTGGCCATAGCAGGCGGGGCCAGGCCAGGTGAAGAGATGGTCCCTGGGGGCTCCACCAAACCCCTTTATGGGTCCATCCATACCGATGCCTCCTGCCCCTGGCTCTTGTCCTTCATGGCTGGGCGCATCCTGGTCCATGGGGCTTCTTACCCCTGGGCCCACCTTCATGGCCTGAGCCATGACCAGTAACCTCCAACACCCTCAGAGCTAGGGCCCTGGCCAGAGGGTACTCACCTGATTCTGGGTGATGTTGGCCAGTTCCTCAATGAGCTCCTTGGTGGTTGTTAAGTTACGCACAGGACCTGGGGAGGCAAGGCCACTAAGGCAGGTGAAAGCAATGACCACAGTCAACCAGAGCGCCATGGGGCTGAAAGCCAACACAGGAGGAGCGAGGAGCAGACTCGTAGGCTGGCCTAAGCTGAGTGGCTTGTGGCCTTGGCCTCTTGCAGCAGCTTTTATAGGCCAAAGTGATGACGCCTCCAACCCTGGTCTCCGCTTTGTCAAGTACTATCTAGAAACCACATCTTTACTCATCTTGATTTTACTTTGTGGAAAATCCAGCGTCGCACAAAGGAAAGAGTTTGATTTCTTGTGGACTTATGATTGAGAGGGGTCTAGAGCTCTTCCCAAGATATGGATGCGCTTACCAGGGGTGGGTGAGAGGGCCATCAGGGCAGCTTGGTGTCAGCCATGCCAGCCCGAACTGCGGCGGTTTTGCTTGGTAGCTACCCGGCATATCTGCCCAGCTCCTGTCCTTAGACCCTTTTGGTTTACAGAAGTGTTTGGGAACAGAAGTGTTCGGTTGACAGGGCTATGACTACAGTCTACCAGATGTGTGAATTTGGGGGTTTTGTTTTTCAATGAACTGGTCTCTCATACTTGATTTGGATACAAAACTCGTTCTTTTTCTTCCACCCTATTCCCTGTTGGCTCCACTGTGGGAAGGATTATAAGAGTTTCAGTTTCTCAGGTCTCCAACGAAAGATCCAGTCAGAGTCAGGGGTCCTTCTGTGACCTCTTTTTTCCCCCCTAAGATTTTATTTATTTGAGAGAGCATGGCATGAATAGGGGGAGAGGGAGAAGCAGACTCTCCGCTGAACAGGGAGCCCCTCGTGGGACTCTATTCCAGGACCCTGGGATCATGACCTGAGCCAAAGGCAGACACTTAATGACTGAGCCAGCCAGGCGTCCTGGGAACTTTTCTTTTTAAAGTTGCTTTGGAGCGCCTGGGTGGCTCAGTGGGTTAAAGCCTCTGCCTTTGGCTCAGGTCATGATCTCAGGGTCTTGGGATTGAGTCCCACATTGGGATCTCTGCTCAGTGGGGAGTCTGCTTCCCCCCTCTCTTTCTCTGCCTGCCTCTCTGCCTATCTCTGTCAAGTAAAATCTTAAAAAAAAAAAAAAAAAGGTTTTAAAGTTACTTTGATGATAATTTTGAGCATGGGGAGCCTAAACACACAGCCCCCAACTCAGGCCTTCAGCGTGGGCCCATCCTGATGGGAAGCCCTTAACCAGCTAGGCTGGTAGGAGGCAGGACTAGCTTTAGCCCAGGTTGGAAAGTGTAACTGTTCCCAGTGCCACTGAGACCTGGGGCAACCGCCTCTGCCCACCAGTGTCTGTGGGACAAAGCTGTCATCCCTGGGGGACCCAGGTTTATGCAGACTGAAGGCTGTGGAGGGCAGCCTGCCCCCACTCCATGGTTCCCCTGAACAGCCCGCCTCTGCGGGGATACTGCAGATAGCCATTTGCCTGCTTCTCCCTCCTTTCTCTAGAGTCCTCCAGAAGCCCCTGCAACAGACACTGCATCATTTGCCTATTGAGTACTGATGTCAGGGTGTCTCCCTCACCCACTTCCTGCCCTAAACCAGTACCTCCCCCTCCAGGCCCCTTCTCTGCCCTCTCAGGCTCCCTTTGTCCTACTCCTGGTGAGGCTGAACCTCCTCACAGAGGGCTTGCAAGTGGTGCTTCTGCTCCTGCTCCCAAGCTTCTCAGCCTTGCCCACTCTCTCCTCCCACCCTCTCTTTTGGCCAATTCCCAAGCTTCCCAGCCCACTTGTAGGTCCTAACACCCAGAAGCCAGCCCCTGCCCCTGGCGGGCGGCCCAGTGGCTGGAGCACTGTTACTTGGCTGTATAACACCTCTGTGGACCCGGTTCCTCATCTGTAGAATGGGGTCTCCGTGTTGAGGGAAGGAGCAGGGAACTGCCGTGGGATGCAGAAGTCCCAAAGCTCTGCACCAAGATGAGTCAACGTCCCCCAATCCCCAGGACCAGCCAGACCGATGCGGGGAGTGGTGGGCAGGCGCGCCCCCGCGCGTGGGAGAAGCCAAGCTGGCTGGGCGGTCGCAGCGATGGCCCGCGGAGATAGGGGCCCAGCCTTATGTAATGGGAGATGGGGCTGATAAACGGGATCCGCACCGCTTGGCCCTCCTCCGCGGTCGCAGGCGGTGGCGTTGCCCGGGGGAGGGTGAGAGCCTACAGCCGACTTCGCCAAGCTAAGCACCCGCCCTCGCCGCTGGTGAGCTAAGGTCCCAGGCCGGGCGAGGAAGTGGCCAAGGCGGGACCGATGGCACCCAGCGCCAGGCAGGACGTGGGCCAGCTGCACACGCCGGACCTCCAGCGCTCCAAGCACCTGCGCGCACCGGCGAGGGGGGCGCGAGGCCAGCCGCCTGCACCTGCCGGGGCGGGGTGGGGTGGGGGTGGGGATCTGCTGACGCTGAGGAATCAGCCCACCCTTTGTCCCAACCTGCCACCAAAGGCATGGGGGCCGCGTCATCCGAGCGGGACTCGGGTGACCCTTTCTGGTCTTCGGCCCCGAGATAAGACCCCCCCTGGCTACATCCTCCCTCTCTGTTCGGATTTCTTGACTTTCAGGGGACTCCATTCACACCTCGGAAAACTGTAAACAACACAAATTATGAACGGGCTGCTCCACGCCCTTGACACGCGTGGATGCTTGTAACTGTCCTACAGGCGTGGGCGCCAGATCCCCGCCTCTCAGGTGCCGAACCCGCGCTCATGGGGGTGGGGGAACCAGCCTGGGAGGCACCTGCGCAGGGAAGGACGGGGTTGGCGGCCTCAGGGCCTTGCTCTACGTATGGGTCTGATAGTTGAGGTTGAGACCGCCCCGCCTCAGGACGAGCCCGCTCTGCACGAAGTTCCACGAAACATCCTTTCCCAATTTTCTCCCACGTTGTTTCGCCTTTGGAGAGAAAAGATCCCCAGTCCGTGGGAGTAAAGATTAGGCGGGTTGTTTTTAATAATTTAAAATACCTAACTTAGTAGATTTTTATATTTATGAAGTTTATACGTGTGTGTGCATTTAAAAGAAAAATTCAGGGAGGTTGACTGTAAAAAACAAAACAAACAAAAAACCACTGGCAGTTTTGAGTATGAGTTCCCCGTGGGTCTGTTGCATTTCTGTATGGCTTGTGAGTGAGGCACTAAGTGCCCTTCTTCATTCCTCAGTAACTTTTTAAGGATGTTTGTATAAGGAACAGCCTTGGACACAGCAGCATAGAATCTTCCTCACCAACAAAAGGCAGGCAGACTTACTGTCCATTGTTAAAACTTCATTTTTTCTAAGCTCAGGCTTCTTTTCCTGCAGTGCAACCCACTGGGTACTCAGGTGTCCGCTGGCTTCCTGGGTACCACACTGTGAGAACTGGGGTTCTGGAGGACAAAAATAAAACAATAATACTGTCCTTGTACATAATAACTTCTGAGTCTCTGTTCTCCAGGTGTTGTGTCTTCTGCCAGCATTCATGAACTTGTTAACTTGTTACCATGCAAGTTAGATAAAATCTCAGAGCCTTCAGCTGCTGACAAACAGCCTCCTGCCACCCCATTAGGTTATTCTCTAGAGGAACCATGATTTAAACTGTTTCTTTTGGTATTTACCCCCTCCCTGTTTCTAAATTTCTTGGTTTTCATGTGTAGGCATTTTCTGTAGTTTATGATGAATATTTAATTCTCTTTCCTCCTTGCTATCCTTTTTCCATTTGCATCCTTCCCTTTTTCTCATCCTACTAGTACAGTAGATGAGAATTTAGCTCAACCAGAAGCCTTGTCCACCATTTGCATAATAATACAGTGTATTCAAAGCTGGAACATGTCGTTAGCTATGATTGATTGCTTTTATTTCCCCTCAAATCTCTTTTCCTCTGGAGCCGGTAATAGGTTTTTCCTATTTGCTTCGTTTTTGTTTTTTTTTTCTTCTGTTTCTCTGTGATTTGACCCTAAATTCCTGTCTGCTTTTATAAATCTCTTCTCAGCAGATTTGGGTAAATGAGTTATTCTCAGAATCTTATCTTCCTGAGACAGTGTGCCCTAGAGCCTGCGGACCTGCTCTGGCTGCCCTGGACAGCACCCTCTGAGAGCCGGTGAAGGCTGTCATCCTGCGGTCCCCTGTTACCCCTGCCTGAGACTTTCCTTCACCTCTCCCCTGTGCAACCCTCCTGATCCTTGCATCCCAGATCTTCCTCTTTTTTGGGAAACACATCCTAATAAACACAGAATTTCGGACAGGAAATGATTTTCTTTCAGAAACGCAAATGCCTTTGCTTTTGCATTCTGTCTCTCAACATTGCCATTCAGAAGTCCAAAAGCATTTGAATCCAGATCTTTTCTAACTGTCTCTCTGGAAATTTGTTGGAAATTTTCTGGGCTCCCATGCTCCAGCTGCTATGGTGATGCATCTCTGGGTAGTTTTGTTTTCATCTACAATGCCAGATGCACAGGGGACCCTTTTAAACTGAAAATATATTAAGTTTTGGGTAATCTGCTTTCTTGTGAAAAAATTTAAAACTCCTATTATTTTATTTTATTAAAAAATGTTACATAAAGTCATTGTTTAAAAAAAAATTCTTTTTTTTTTTTTTAAGAGCGGCTTTAGATTCACAGCAAAATTGAGCAGGAAGTCAGTCCAGAGTTACCATACAGCCCTGGCTGCACACATACACGGCCTCCCCTGTTACCCACATTCCTTGCCAAAGTGGTACATAAGTCTATAGTAACACATCATTATCACCCAGAATCCATAGCTTACATCAGTATTCACTCTTGGTGTACATTCTGAGTTGTAACAAATGTATAATGGCACGCATCCACTGTAATAATGTCATACGGAATATTTTCACTGCCTGCAAAATCCTCCTTTGTGCTCGAGGAGCTGTTCCACCTGTTTGTCCTTCTTTCCCTCCTACCCCTGGCACCACCGATCCTTTACTGTCTCCATAGTCTTGCATTTTCCAGAATGTCATATAGTTGGAATCATACAATGTTCAATATTTTCAGATTGGCTTCTTACATTTAGTAATATGTATTTAAGAGTTCCTTCATGTCTTCTCATGGCTTGATGACTCACTTCT